AATGTTTAGTAATTTATAATAATTTAAATTGTATAATAATTTCATATAAAAATAGTAACTCAATGGTGAGATTTTAAGGTTTTTTTTTTTTTAATTATTATTTTGAGAGAGAGAAAGAAGATTCTAGAGAGTTGAACTTTGATGGTGTTGGTGGCATACTCAAAAAATAACCAGACAAATCACGGGACAGGTTCGGTGAGTTTTTAAGTTTGGGTCATTAATTTCTGCGATGGAACCTATTAGACTAATGGGAGCTTCATTATGGTCCTTTCAAAAACCCCAGTGATTTTCTTCGTCTGCTATTGACATTTGTTGGATAATTTAATTCAGCAGTCTAAAAATCAATGTCCCCTCACGACTGTTGTGTTTGATTATTAATTAAATACCAAACTGTTTTTGACTTTTTCTTTCTTAAAAATATTCCACCAATGGGAAACTAATAAGATTCACATTGGATGAGATACTATTTGTGGAAACTCAAAATTCTTTGGTATTGGTTGGAAGGATTAACTAATTAGTAATCAGCTTTCCTGTCTTCAGTTACAACTTACAAAGGGTCCTCTGCTCCTTAATTGGTTGTTTAATTTTGAAAACATTAGTGTGAGATTATGAATTCAACCCAACTTTTTTAGAAGTGCCATGCATTTTCCACCACATTTTTCTCCTTAATTGGCTCATCTTAGATAATAAACAAAACAAGATTATTCAAATGATGTAAAGTTTGGTATCCAAAAACTAGCTGTTTCCATTAATTGAAATTCAAAATTAAGAGATAAAAGTCAAACTTTAAAATAAACAGGATAGAAAACGCGTGGTATGCATGCATTTTTTAATTAATTTTACCAACAAATAATTAAATTTAAAAAAAAAATCCTTTTGAGTGAAGAAAGAAAATGGTTTTGAAACAAATATGTGGACTTTGCTGCCTTTGGGAGCAGCAAAACCTTAACCAAAACTCTAGGGTACGTGAATTGGATAAGGATCAAGTTTCTTAATATATCATCACGTCCACGGCCGCTACCTTTGATTAGCATTGAAACTGTCGGTAAAAGAATCTTCCATGGCGGAGGATGCGGCAAACTATTTAATAAGCGGTGAGGATCAGGGGGGACTAAATCCCTCTCGGTGCCGGCCGGCGTCGTGGAGCAGCATTAGCTGGCCATCAACCGTCCAATCTTGAGATCAACGAGTTTGTGACACGTGCAGCAAAAGTAGATCCTGCGATTGAATTATTTTATATATCTGCAATTCAATTATTTAATTTGTCGTTAGGAAGCATGAAATTGGAGTACTAGTGGAAGCAATGTATCTAATCATGCAGCGCACGTTCATGGGAAATCTTATAGATTTTTCTTGGCCCATGGATTAGATTGCTTTTGCCTCCCGTTGATGTAATAAGACATTCCTTCTCCATGTTGGTGGTACTACTTAATGAACTTGCATTATTTTCAGGTTCCAGTCTTCATTTATGAGGCATAAACACTTACGATATGATCATAAATTCAAATCAATAATTCACCTAATAATTCATGCCTTAAACTAAAAAGTTTAATAATTTTAAAGTCTTAAATTCAAAGTTTAACAATGTTTGAGTTCGATTAAGTTTCATGATAATTATGAATTGAATTGGTAATAAATGAGTGTGAAGATTCCCCTTTACCAAGAGGATGAATTGCATACGGTATGATCATACCTTAACTTCTTCTTTTTTTTTTCGACTATAAAAAAAAAAAACTAAAAAAAAAAAGCACATGATGTGTCACGTAACAAGGTGAAAATATAGACAAAGGGGATTGGGCAGGAATAAATAATTAATGTACACAAAATCTTAAGAACATCGAGTGCGGCTTGACCTTATTCTAGGTTCATGGTTCAGTTTGTAAAATTTAATATTGAAGATGACATTGATGATCAGCAGAGCATGCGGTCTCCTCGTGTAGGGGGGATAGTGAGGCCAAAAGACATTATAATTTTCGTAGAAGGGGTATCCAATGAAGAATAAGCAAAATGTCCCGCACTCGGTGGCCAAATGGCCACCCCCTTGCAAAGGACGTGCGTAGGACTACAAGGACTTGGGATCAATCCCAAATCCCCCATTCCCCCTTCCCCCAAGAAAAAAAGATTTCACACTGTTCAAAAAAAAATGAAGAATAACCAAAATGAGTGACCCCGGCCCCCCGCTTACCCCCCGAAAAAGAAAAAGGATAATAGCAAAATTATTGATGCTAATTATTTTTGTTTATTTCTGTGGTTAATTAGCATTAATGACGTACTTAATTTGTTGATGAATACAGCTTGCGGGGTTATACCAGCTGGATGGGACTGGTTGGGACAAACCCTCACCGCAGACCGCGCCGTGTTCATCGCTGCGGCAGTTCCTGCCATGTTGCCCGTAAACGCAACCCCACCTTATCTAAAGTAACATGTTATGGTTCAGATGTTGTCTTCTCTCTGCAATTTTTTGGGTTTTTGGATACCAAATGTTTGTCTTTTTTTCTTTTTTCACTTTCTAAGTACTTGTAATTAATTGAACAAAGACTTTAAATATATATCGTTGAAACTTGACCCTTGCCAACAACTTAGTGATAATCACCTTTTCATAAAGTAAGAAACTTGAGAAGAAAATTGTAGATGTCGACCATCTCTGCAGCAAGTGAATACAATGCTAAACACATAGCAAAGGTTATATAAATAAAAGTCAAATAAAAACAGTTAGTCAATGTGGGACTGTCTACGTAGTAACTTACCAGTCTGAACTGGCTGTTAAGAAACAAGATTATAAAAAGAAGACTGCATTACGGTGAAAGCAAGTACAAGTTACAACAACTATATCGTTCCAGGTTGTAAGGAATAGATCCAACAATAGCACAACAGATAATATAAAAGATGTTCAACATCTGATAGTGAATATGTACAGGATGAAAATTGAGAAATAAGTACTTCTGGTAGTGAGGAAGGAACCAACACAATGTAATGGTACAGGGAATGTACCTGCACAAGTGCTCAGAAGTATACTTCTCAATCATCATATCCGATAGAAAGGACATTGCCTTTGCTATGGGATTTCATGAGGGTACATTGAAGTGAAAGAGCCAAGAGATGACAAAGGCGAAGACCACACAGGCAAGCAGGAAATTCAGGAACTGATGGCCCTGCCAAAAGTTTCGGGTCTCTGTGGGGTGCACCAGGACTGGAACTTGAGTTGATGTGGTGGAATCATTTGTCTCATTCCATTGCTCTGTCAAGTCAGCCTCATTTGCACCGACAACATTGCGTGCAGTTGATCCACAGATCTCACAGGTTCTGCAATAGATAACCAGGAAGAAAATTATAATCAATATACAAATAATCATAACAAAAGCAGAAAAATTCACCAATTCAGCTAGCATCTTAAAATTTTGTCTTGGTTGCCAAATGCTATGCTGTATATAAACACAAGATATATCCAGTGGACATTGTTTCTAGACGTTATCCACTTCTCCACTTTGTTCTGCTCATCCACAGCTAACAGAATCAACATAACATTAGTGTTAATCAAAATCAAACTCTATGGTCAGAAAATGGCATCACAGTATTATTCTGGGGATTAAGCATTAGCATAAAACATCTTTCCAGTTTACTCCTCTGAGCCTAGCAATTCCAAAGAAAGGAGGACAATAGGTAGAACAAATTAAGTACAAAGCAGCATTTTCTCTTGAAATTTGAAAATCCATAGAAAACACGTTATAAGCAAGGCTAAGTAACATTGTATTAAACATACATTGTGTCCAATCAAGGAATGGAAATTTGATACCCAAGATGAGTTAAAGCATTATAACTAAAATTGGCACAATTCAAAGTAGTGAATGCTGCAGCAAAAGGTAGAACCATGAGAGACTTGAAAGAGATAAATTACTTTAAGAAATAACATGGTGATCAAAATAGTTCAAGGAACATGACTGTTGTTTTCTACAACTACACTATCTCCATGGCACTGTCTATATATTAGAATTTAACACTATAAGTCAGTGCAAAATAGGTATTCTGCTTTCTTAATTTGATTATTGTACCATTGATGAAGCAGCACACTTTATTTGGTTCATCCTTTTTGATGAGACTACATATTAAAACAGTCTTGGTAGAAAAGAACTCTAAGTGAAATAAATATATCTAACTTGATAAAGACAAGGATTCCCCATGTTCAAATGTGTAATGCTGACTTCTGAATCATATGGAAAGAAATAGGAAGTAAAAAAAATTATGCAATTCTTGATAAAATTTACTTTAAATAGAATAAGGTAATGGAAAGAATAATTCTCAGAGCGGGAATTACATGCAAGAAATCTTGGTTGTTCAAATGTGTAATGCCAACTTCTGAATCATATGGAAAGAAATAGGGAGTACAAGAAATTATGCAATTCTTGATAGAATTTACATCCAATAGAGTAAAGTAATGGAAAGAATAATTCTCAGAACTGGAATTACATGCAAGACATCCTGATTGTTCAATGTTTTGCTTTATATGATGTTTGATACTTTGATTCCCTTTATTATGATAAATAGCTCGCTTTAGTTTCCTTTATGATAACAACGTCAAGATTCTATTCTTATTAATGTTCTGATTACTTGTTTACTGCAACAAACAAAGTTCTTTCAGCAAACACTAACATAAAAAGATTCGTCCTCCGCTTCTCACCAAGATACAACAAACAAATCAAAGAAAAACACCAGCAAAATTACCATTTTAGACCATCACTACTTCAAACAAGAACATGGATCCGGACAAAGGCTAAATACTATCTGTGAAAGAAATATAACACAAATTAGATTATTACTGCTTCAAACAATAGTGTGGATCCACATGTGAACTAAGCATTTTGACAATTTTTACTGTCTGTGAAAGGAATATAACATAATTTAGACCATTACTACTTCAAACAAGGATATGGATCCACATAGAAACTAATAAGCATTTTGATAAGTTACCATGTATGGAAGAAATATATGACAATTAGGGTAAGTCTTTCATTTCTACTTCAACCTTCAACAAATGGGCAGTAGACAGCAACAAAATGCCACGAATAGAGAATGTCCGGAACAAATTTATGACAATGAAGGCAAATGTTTGCAATTCAATCACATTCCAAGAACCTGTTAGCCCTGGGGATGCCAAGAGCTAATAAATGGGGGTACCTCCAAAAACAAAAATGGAAATAATTTAGCTACTTACTTGTTCCCCTTGATTTTGAACCA